CTGTTCTTGTTACGATACTTGCCATGGTTGTGACTAGTTCAGCATGCTTCGGCCCTAGTCCCTAAACCCTCAGCAGGAGCAGAAAGCCCAACTCCGCAAGACGGAACAGGAGAGAGACGGAGCTAAGGAAGAGGCCAAGGAGCGAGCCAGCGGATTTAAGGGCTTTAGGCTTAGAGTTTAGGGTTTAGGGTTTAGGGGTACTTCAAGGCTTACATCCAGAACTCAAACTGAGGTACTTATAGCATCTTATAGCCCTACATATAGCCACCCATGAACCTTCAAGTAGGGGTTTGGGCTTTATGGGGTTTAGTTTGTTGTTTTGCGTTAGGCTTTAGGGCTCTGGGGTTCACAGGGTTGTAGGAATTTGGGGTTTTGGCGGCGGGGAAGGGGGGGGAGGGGTAGGGTTTTCGTCGGGTTTGGGAATAGGGGCTTTAGGGGGGATTTTGGATTCAGGGTTAACCCCTAAACCGCGATGCCCCGGCAGGATCTGGTAAGTTGTATAGTTTGTTGTTGCAGGTTTACCAGAGTCCTTGTTGGTTGTTGTTTTACATATTTGTCATATTAAATCCCCAACAAGGAATAAGAAACGATCATTTGAAACATAATCTCAAGAAGGGTTCATTTAGGGTTTAGGGGGGAGCATCGGGCTGGTGCGGGGGTTTAGGTATTCCGGCCTGCAGGAGGCATTGAAGCAGAAAGAAGCAGCGGCAAAAGCGCAGCAGGCGCGCAGATGCTTTCTCACCCCACACTGGCCCCCATCTGCCCTCCTAAGGCTTTACCTTAAGGAGCCAGGGCTACGTGTAAGAATTGGGATGTTCGCCCTTATACTCACAGTCCTTGAAAGGCTTTTTCATGGGGGAGGGTTACTATAATCCCTATTAGGGACTATGCTATACGGGTTTTACAGCAAGAGCCTACGAAACACACGTACTTGAAGGTTCACGGGTAGTTAGAAGTAGGGTTATAAGTAAGGTAACCCAGAGTATATCCTTAGGTAAGGTACTTCTATCCCTTCTTAGACCTACTGAAGGTCTAAACCCTAAACCCCAAACCCTCAACCCTCAACCCTCAACCCTAAACCCTAAACCCTAAACCCTAAACCCTAAACCCTAAACCCAGGCGCAGCTGGATGCCGAGCAGAAGATGCTAAAGCACGAGCGCAGCAAGAACGAAGCCCTTAGCAAGGTGCGACCTCTCACCCCACTTGCTAGGGAGGTTTGGGGGGTCGAACCCTTAGGGCTCAGGGTTTAGGGTTTAAGGTTTAGGGTTAGGGTTTAGGGTTTGGGGTTTAGGGTTTAGGGTAACTAGGTAGGCCCCTGGGATATTTTTAGTTTTCCCTTCTTGGGTTTGAGAGGATCTTGTTCAGGAATATTTGTTCAGAGGGTTTCAAGGGCCATCCAGGTCACTCAAACCTACTCCGATCCAACAAGCCTCACAAACCCTAAACCCCAAACCCGAAAGTCTTTGGACATTGGACATGTGTGGGGGGGGGGGGGGGGGGGGGGCGCTGGTTGCCAAAAAATGGGGAACCCCTAAAATAGACCCCCCAAAAGTAGTCGGATTCCCTTATAAGTACCCAATAAGGTACCCGAAACCACCATTTGAACCCTAGGAGCAAGCTGTCTGTGGACTCCTAAACCCTAAACCCTAAACCCTAAAGAGAATCTAATTCCTGGGACCCTCTTTGGTGCGCCACGAGCTTGTAGGGTTTTGGGGCTTATGGGGTTTAGGGTTTAGGGTTTACGGTTTAGGGTTTAGGGTTTAGGGTTTGGGGTGTAGGGTTTGGGGTGTAGGGTTTAGGGTTTAGGGGTGCAGAAGGGCAGGCTTCAAGCCCCTACTTGGAAGTGGAAGAACCCTGCTTTCAGTTGGCTGGTGAAGTGTGCCAGGCACGCGAGGAGCTGGAGAAGACAGTCAAGGAGAAGGTCCCTGCAGCAAGTCGCCCCTTTCAGGGCTTGGGCATCTGAGGGTTTAGGGAGCCCTAAACCCCAAACCCCAAGCCCTAAACCCTACACCCTAAGCCCCAAGCCCTAAACCCTAAGCCCTAAACCCTAAACCCTAAACCCGAAACCCTAAACCCTAAACCCTGAACCCCAAACCCTAAACCCTAAACCTTAAACCCTAATGCGGCAGGACCGGCAAGCACAAGAAGCCGCCAGAAAGGCCGACAGCGCACCCCGGCCCTTGGGCCCTTAAGCCCGAAACATCTCCAACCCCTTGACCCGTTGAAACATCTCCAACCCCTTGGGCCCGTTGGGGCTTAGGGCTTAGGGCTTAGGGCTTAGGGCTTAGGGCTTAGGGCTTAGGGTTTAGGGTTTAGGGTTTAGGGTTTAGGGTTGCGTATCCTGACAGGCGCAGGAAGACCTTGAGAAGGAAGGCAAAGAGAAGGCGGCTGCACGCCCGTGTGTGGACATGCCTTGGTCTTGTTGTTTGTTTTGCAAGACGGCGTTGATCAATATGCCCATCGATTCATCTACACATTTTTCCATATTCTACTCATTTACAAGTAAGAAAGAACCAAGATGAGTAGATAGCTAGACGACGAGAAGACTATATGTACGAAATTCCACTGTTAGTTTAGTTTTACTTAATTCAACCATTTTCCTCGCCTCCCTCGTTCAGTCTCCTGGCCATGTCCCTGCAGTGAAGCTCGCAGAGAATCCCGCCCTAAACCCTGAACCCTAAACCTTGGAGGGCCCACCCGCGCAGAGAGTCCCGCCGAGAAGCCCGCACAGAGTCGCAGAGCGTCAGTGTATACAGGAGCAATGGCAATCGCAAGACACTAGTACTAGTACGTGTTGCTGTGGTGTTTTGGAGTTCTGATGCCATTCTGCATGTCTATAGGCATTTACATTATATATATATACATACATATACATAAATAAGTACATAAATATATACATATATGTATATATGGTCACCCCCCCCCCCCCCATGATCTAGGTTTTGCTTTGTCCCTATAAAAACCCTCGTAAATACCGATTAAAATGACATGCTGGCTATGCTAGGCGATGTCCTGTTTTTGCACGTCTAGTCCTATGCGAGAAAACCTGTAAATAGTGAAAAACGCGTGTGTTTAGCACTACTTCCACATCACCACATAAAAAAACACCCCAAAAACACAGGAAAATGCAATTTGGTAAACATGTCTATGAATTATTTGCATAGGACAGGCTTATAAACACAGAATTGTATGCAAAAAACACTTCTTTTTTGCAGAATTTGCAAATTTTGACACAAATCCAAAAATCCAAAAATCCAAAAACTCAAAACCATGGAGCCGGGAGGCCGCCTTTTTTGGATTTTTTGGTTTTCTCGAGGTTTTTTTGGTTTTTTTTGGAAAAATCCAAAAAAAACCATGGTTTTTTTTGGATTTTACTTGCTCCTGGCCTCAAAAACCTAAAAAACACATGGTTTTTTTTTGGATTTTGAGTGAAAATCCAAAAAAACCCTCGTGTTTTTTTGGATTTCAGGTGCTCCTGGTCTCAGAAACTAAAAAAACACATGGTTTTTTTTGGATTTTCACTCAAAATCCAAAAAAAACCATGTGTTTTTTAGGTTTTTGAGGCCAGGAGCAAGTAAAATCCAAAAAAACCATGGTTTTTTTTGGATTTTTCCAAAAAAAACCAAAAAAACCTCGAGAAAACCAAAAAATCCAAAAAAGGCGGCCTCCCGGCTCCATGGTTTTGATTTTTGGATTTTTGGATTTTTGGATTTTTGGGTTTTTTTTTTAGCAAATTTTGCAAAAAATGCTTTTCTTGTATAAAGAATGTGTATTGTTATACGTTGTTTCTGCTAATGTGACTGCCTTGCACACACACAGAGAAAAGCACACAAACACACCCACCATTCGTTTTTTTTCAATTCAGCCTATTCGGTATGCAGGGCGTGGCGTTAACATGTAAAGTTCCATTAGATTTAATTACGAATGAGGCTTAGAAGAGGATGTCTTGGGATGTGGCGTCTTAATATGAAAAGTAATAAAAAAAAGAAATAGAGAGGGTTTCTTAGGGTGTGGTTCTTTTGAGGATGTGGACCTGCAATTCAAAAGTCTAATTGGACTTAAAAAAGAGTGGGGCTTCGAAGAGGATGTCTTGGGGTGTGGCCTCTTAATTTCAACGTCTATTTAAGTGGAATCACAAAGGAAGTCCAGTTGAGGATTTCTTAGGGTGTGGTGTTTTAGTGCAAACCTCAAATTACATTTCATTACGAAGCGGGGCCAGAGGAGACTTTCACAGGGTGTGGTCGGTAAAATAAAATTCCAAAGAGGTAGTAACGAATGAGGCTTGGAAGGGCGTGGCCTCTTAATTGTTTTACTTGGTTTGGTTTTACGAACGAAGCTGTGGCTTTACCATACACAGGTCTTAGGGTGTGGCCTTTTAAAATCTGTCCAAAGGGGTGTGGCCTCTAAACTTAAAATTCAATTTAAGTGGAATTCCAAACGAGTCCAGATGAGGATTTCTTAGGGTGTGGCGTTTTAATACAAACCTCAAATAACATTGTAGTATGAAGCGAGGCCAGGGGAGAATTTCATAGGGTGTGGTCTGCAAAATAGAATTCCAAATAGGTATTAACCAATGAAGCTTAGAAGAGGATGTCTTGTGGCGGGGCCTCTTAATTTGTTTGTTTGACTTGGGTTTAATTTACTAACGAAGCTATGGCTTTATCATATACAAGTCTATTGACATTTCCCTAATAGGCACCAGAAGAGGATTTCATAGGGTCTAGCGGTTAAATATGGAATTGTAAGTACATTCAAATACGAATGGGGGCTCATGATATAAATTTCTGTCCAAGAGTTACATACGAACCTAGCCTAGGTCAGAACTTCTTAGGGTGTGGGCTTCTTACCTAGCATTATAAACTTCTTACGAGATTCTGTTACGAACAGGCCCCAGAATGGTGTGGCTTTTTTTAATACAAGCATCTTGGCAAATCGAAAATAAGTCTAATTACAAACGAAGGTCTAATGAGGATTTCTTGGCGTGTGGCTTTGTAATACAGAATTCTAATTAATCTTCATTACAAATAGGGGCCAGAAAGGGATTTCATAGGGTATGGTCTGCAATAATATAGAATTCTAACTCGGTTTCATTGCGAGGAGGATGTCCTGGGGTTGGCCTCTGAATATACACTTGCTTTACTTGGGTTCAATTACGAACGAAGCCCAGAAGAGGATTTCTTAGGGTGTGGGCTTACAATATGAAATCAAATTGCGTTTCATTACGAATGGGGCCAGCGAAAGATTTCACAGGGTGTGGGAAAAACAAAAATGTTCTAAATAGGTATTAATCAATGAGGCTTAGAAGAGGATGTCTTGGGGCTGGGCCTCTTAATATGTTTTTTTACTTGGGTTAATTACGAACGAAGCTGTGGCTTTATCAGACACAAGTCTACTGAAATTTCATTAAGAGGGCCCAGAAGAGGATTTCATAGGGTGTGGCCTTTAAGTATAGAATTCTTTTCGTAGGGTGTGGGCTTCTTATGTAGAAGCATTTTCTCAACAAAATAGGCAGGAAGCCCAGATGAGGATTTCTGAGGCTGTAACCTCTGCATATAAAGCTCTTGTGAGATTTTGTTACGGACAGGCAGGCCCCAGAAGAGGATTTCATAGGGTGCGGCTTTTAATTGGCAAATTTAGATTTCTAAAAAAAGTTTTACTACGAATGAGGCCAGTGGCCTTTTAATTTTCATTCCGACTTAGGTTTAAATCTCGCTTCGATGGGCCCGAAAGGCCTTTCGACCTAGATCATGGGGGGGGGGGGGGGGTGAGCGTATATATATATATATATGTCTTTACACACATCTACATCTGTCTTTGCCTACATCTACATGGACCTTTCATTGCCCACCTGACAGGAGCGGCAAGCTAATGAAGCCGACCGGACCCCAGACCTCCAGGAACAGATGTTTTCTACTGGCGAGGGAGGGGGGGAGGAACGATCTAAACCCTAAACCCTAAAACCTAAACCCTAAACCCTAAACCCTGGGTCGATGCTAAGCTGCTACATGTGGACGGGGGGGGGGGGGGGGCAGCAATTGACATCTTGTCATCCGAGGGCGAAAAGCACGCCGAGCTCAACAAGAAGATCACGCAGCTCGAGGCTTGATACAAGGGGGCCATAATGAACCTTGCAGAGCTTCAGGTTTCGGAGTTCGGGGGTTCTTTTTGCCAGGCGTTCTGTGATACAAAGTTTGCTCAAGCTTTGCGCAGAATTGCGCCGGATTATCGTATTTTGGGGTATGTAAGAGGAACCGCTCCGCATGCACCTCCTGAACTTGAAAGGGCTGTTCAGGATTCTATGCTCTTGCGTGGTTACTTCTCCAAGCCTGCTGGGAGATCGGAAAAGCTTGCAGCTACACTGCTTAACCTGCGACCACATATTCTACGGTGACCAGGTGTGCCTTGCAAACCGGATCAGCCAGAGAGAACGGAAACGGAGTCTGTTCTCACTGAGGATTAAGGGTTTCGGGCCGAGACCCTTGCCTAGGTAGGTATAGTACTTGTACGGGGGAGTGTAATCTGTAGGAGAAACCCCGAATGAAACACCCTGAGGTGATATGGGCCCTTGGGTTGTACAGGGTGTAGAAGGGGGTCCCCTTAAACTAACAGTCCTTAGTAGGGATTATAGTACCCCCCCCCCCCCCTATCAGAAATCCCTACTAAAGACTGCGAGCATAAGGGGGGCCATCCCAATAACTACCCTAAACCCTAAACCCTAAACCCTAAACCCTAAACCCTAAACCCTAAACCTTAAACCCTAAACCCTAAACCCTAAACCCTAAGAAACACCAGCCATGCGGAGGCGCAGCTGGCGGAGGAGCGCGGCAAGATGCAGGGCGTGGTTAAGGCCTTGCGTAGTGTGCTCGTAGTTGTCAGAGCCGTGCGGTGCCGCAGTAGCGTTTAGGGTTTAGGGTTTAGGGTTCAGGGTTGAGGGTTTAGGGTTTAGGGTTTAGGGTTTAGGGCGCTGGCAGACAGAAAGCACAGTGCCTTCCGGCGTTCCATGCGAAAGGCACGTGACGACCTGGCCAAGGAAGCAAAAGAGCAGGTGCGAGGGTCTGGGCTCAGTTCTTTTTGGGGGGGGTCTTTGGTACAGTCAAACGGAGTTTACGAAAATAAGCACCCTGAATATCCACCCCCCAAATAGTAGGATTCCTTGATAAGGACCCCAAGAAGGTACCCCCGAATTTCGGAACCCCTCAAACCCTTACAGTTGAGGGCACCATGAAGGTCCCCAAAAAATTTGATCAGCTTCTACCTTTCTAGGGCATTGCACCGTTGGCCCTATAAGAAGGAAGTTTCTAGGGCATTGCACCGTTTTGGCCTTATAAGAAGGAAGGCACGTGCCCAAACTTGAGCAGCTTGGGGGTCCCCTATTTCCTAACCCCCCCCCCTGATGCTCTAGGACTTTGTGCTTCTCAGCCGGTCCCTCTGCGAGTTCAAGTAACCCCCACCGCCTAAAAAGCCCTACCTTGAGAAGTTTGTACATTCCAAAAAGGGAACAGATGCCGATAAGTTAAGGCCTAGTAGTAGAGTAGGTAACCTTTAAACCTTTTTGGGGTAGGATAATCCCCTTATAATCCCAAAGGTTAACCTTCAATTCCCCCAGGTTACCGGACAACTAGGAAGGTACATGTCCCCGTTGCCAAACCCTGCACCCCCTCTGCTGCACCACAGGAAAAGCGGGCTAAAGCCAGCGAAGGTTTGAAGCAGCTTGGCCCTCAGGTCTGAGGGTCCTTAAAAACATGGGATGATTTCACCACTAGGGTTTAGGCTGGGATGTTCCCTCTAGGGGGGTGCTAGAATCCCCATCAAGGACTGTTAGTACAAGGGGGGAGCATCCCAAGGTTTAGTACAAGGGGGGAGCATCCCAAGGTTTTGGGGTTCTTGTTCAATCAAGATACTGCTACTTCCATCGTTTCGAGTACTGAAACCGCTACTTCTCACGAGGCACCGGTGCAGAAAGGATGGGTGGGTGTTGGGTGGGGCGGCCCTTCAGGGCTTGGGGAGCTGAACGCGGCGGGTTCAGAGGGCTTTGAGTAGTTCGGGTTTAGAGGGTTTAGAGGGTTTAGAGGGTTTAGAGGGTTTAGAGGGTTTAGAGGGTCTTACGCTTAGGGCGTAGAGGGGAAGGCTTGTGTGCTTCTGCAGGCTGCATATTCAGCGTATCGACTCGCTGACTGCCGTTGCCTGAGAAACTCTCCTTGCAGCAAGTCGCAGACCTGGGCGCAAGTGAGGGCTTGGGACTTCCTCGACCCTTAATCTGGGAATCCTAAACCCTTAACCCTGAATCCTAAATGGGGTCTGGGGTTGGAAAGGGCATATACGGCGTCAATAAGGGGCCCCCCTTTTCAGGGCCCGTACCAAGGCACCGTGGAACTACCTTGGGGTGCCCTAGTACCCCCCCCTTTGTACTCCCTATGAAGGACTGTTAGTATAAGGGGAAACATCTCAACCCTAAACCCGTCCTAAACCCTAAACACAGGAGGAGTCCTTAAGTGGGATTTTATGATTATAATCGTACCCGTATTATTATAACCCCCATTATGGATAAAAAGGAACTGTTAGCAAAAGGATGAAAAAACACCCTAAGAAATCCTGAGTCCTTCCCCTGAGTTCCGAAGCCAAGAGCCGGAAGAATCGCGCTAAACCCTAGACCCTAGACCCTAGACCCTAGACCCTCAACCCTCAACCCTCAACCCTCAACCCTCAACCCTCAACCCTCAACCCTGAACTTCAACCCTCAACCCTCAACCCTCAACCCTCAACCCTCAACCCTCAACCCTCAACCCTCAACCCTCAACCCTCAACCCTCAACCCTAAACCCTAAACCCTAAACCCTAAACCCCAAAAACCCGAAACCCGAAACCCTAAACCCTAAACCCTAAACCCTAAACCCTAAACCCTAAACCCTAAACCCTAAACCCTAAACCCTAAACCCTAAACCCTACCCAAAAGCCTAAACCCTAAACCAACTGAGCCCTAAACCCTGCAGGCGGAGTTAGAGTCTGAGCAGAAGATGCTCAGAGATGAGCGTGGGAAGACCGAGGCGCTGACCAAGGCGTGGTTATGGGAGTTTAGCTTTGTTCGGGTTTAGGGGTTTAGGGTTTTAGGATTTTAGGATTTAGGGTTTAGGGTTTAGGGTTTAGGGTTTAGGGTTTAGGGTTTAAGGGCTTTATTTAGGCTTTCAGGGTTTTAGGGTTTAGGGGTTTAGGGTTTCGGGATTTCCGAGTTTAGGGGTAGCTTTGTTTTGGTATCCTACTATTGCGGGGGGGGGGGGGGGGGGGTTCTTGTTATCAGGGTCTTGGGGCCTGTTTTTTACTAAGGGTACGTATGCTACTATGTGGGATTTTGGGGGATACTACTTTTGTTGGGGGGGGGGGGGGTTCTTGTTTCAATCCTTTCTTCTATTATGATCGTAAACCCCCCATGTGGTGGCCGTGGCCTGTGGGGGTCTAAGGTGCAGGGGCCGAGTAAACAAACAGCAGGTATGAAACATAGAAATTACAAGGGGCCCTAAACCCTAAACCCTAAACCCTAAACCCTAAACCCTAAACCCTAAACACAAGGGGGAATAGTATTGGGATAATTCTTCAGCCTCAGGCTTCACGAGGTTTTACGGTGGAGTAAAGGAAGAGACCTAGCGGGCGGTTGAAGAAGCAGCAACTTAAAACCTCTCAAACTCCTACCTCCCCTAAACCCTAAACCTTAAACCCTAAACCCTAAGTCCTAAACCTAAACCCTAAACCCTAAACTCATCGCAGGCTCGCGAAAACCTCGAGAAGGAAGCAAAGGACAAGGCAGCTTTTCCCTGTTGCATTGGGCGTGCCAGCTTTGGCACTGACAATGCTCGTCCGGTCGACTCTTATCAGCTATACATTATAGGGGTTTAGGGTTTAGCGTGTAGGGTTTAGGGTTTAGGGTTTAGGGTTTAGGCTATGCAATATACAACATATTATTATATCATTAATCTTTCCACAAAATGCAATATACAATATATTGCACAAGCTATTGTACAATACCAGACGTCATCTTTATGTATACAAAAAGATAAAGATAATCGTTGCCTTCCCTTGATTATGACCCGCGTTGTCAAGAGTCGCAGCGAAAACGGCTGCCGACTCAGCACATAACATTTCCCCTTCCATTCCCTAAGCCCTAAACCCTAAAACCTAAACCCATCTGACAGGAACGGCAAGCTCAAGAAGCGGATGGGAGCTTAGACTTTTACAAGTTGCGCCGGGGGCATGAACAGCAGTTAGAAGCCTCATTCAGGGTTTAAGGTTTAGGGTTTAGAGTTTAGGGTTTAGGGTTTAGGGTGTAGGGTTTAGGGTTTAGGGTTTAGGGTTTAGGGTAACTGGGTAGGCCCCTGAGATGTCTTATATGTTCCCTTATTGGGTTCAAGAGGATGATATTTAGGAATATGTTTTCAGAGGGGTTTAAGGGCCATCCTAGCATGAGTTCATGAGCTTGCCTAGGGCTCCCAGCACTCCGAACTCCACAAGAAAATAGCTCAGCTGGAGGCCGGGACTTGGGGTTCAGCAGGTTGAGGCTAGGGTTTAGGGTTTAGGGTTTAGGGTTTAGGGTTTAGGGTTTAGGGTTTAGGGTTTAGGGTTTAGGGTTTAGGGTTTAGGGTTTAGGGTTCTGGTTTCAGGGTTTCGGGGCGAGGGGCTAGGGGCTAGGGGCTAGGACTTAGGGTTTAGGGTTTAGGATTTAGGCCGCAGGTTTATACACATGAAACTTCAACACAAGAGACGGCAGATCGTTCCTGCACATCACAAAGGCTTGCCTTGCTGCAGATTGTTGCGCAAGGTATGCGGCGTGCTCTTGCGCCAAATACCCTAAACCCTAAACCCTAAACCCTAAACCCTAAACCCGCCGAGCCCATTGCATGGGCCATGCCTAGCAACAGGCGAATGTGCAGGAGGAGCGAAGCAAGATCCAAACCGTGAGCAAGGCAACCCCCGTGCAGTGGTAGAGGGGTTTAGGGTTTAGGGTTCAGGGTTTAGGGTTTAGTGAGGATTTATAGGATGTAGTACGTAGGGCGCAGTGTAGGGGTCGAGTTTCTTCGTGTTTGTACAATGTGGGACCCTTGAATGCCCAAAAGCTCTGAACTTGGCCTGCGAGTGACAGCCCGCGTGGAGGCACGTGACGACATGGAGAGGGAAGCAAAGGAGCAGGCGGAGCCTTACACCCGCAATTGCGAGGGTCGATTCTTTCAGCACGACCGGTCAGGAGAAGCGGAATAAAGCCGGTGAGGGTCTGAGGCAGCTCCGGCCTCGGGGATGCAATGGGGCCCAGCAGCCCCAGAGCCAAACTCTGCACGCCCCTGCAGTCCCCGCGTCCCCTCGCTGAGGCTGCACGCGAAGCGCGTAGCAGTGCTGGAGGCATGCGTGGGAGACACCTCGAGCTTGTGGAACCCCCAACTCCCAGCGCGAAATTCTCTGAGAGGCCGAGAAAGCCAAGCTGACCGAAGAGAACGCCAAGCTCAGGGTTGACGTGGCAAAGCGGGCTCCCGAAGCTCCAGCCACGGCCCCAGTTGATTGGAGCCCCTTTTTTTTGTTGTTTTAGAAAAAGGGGGTGTAAAAAGGGGTTAGAAAAGGGCTTTCAAAGGGATTTTCAAGGGGTTTGACAGGGGCTTAAAAGGGGGCTGCACCGGGGTTGAAAAGGGGAGGGGGTTTATTGGTATCGGGCTTGGGTTTTTTGATTCAAAGGGTTTGGGAGTCAGGGGTTTAAACGTTGTCGCAGCGATTTAGGTCTGAGTGTTAAGGCTTGCAGGTCTCCGGCAAGCCCCTCAAAGAACACACTCCCTAAACCTTAAACTCTAAACCCTAAACCTTAAACCTCAAACCCTACACCCTAAACCCTATAACCCTATACTATCGCAAGCCAGGACCTCAAGGCTGTTCAGAAGCAAGCAGACCTGGCAGTACACATGTGCATGGAGTACAGGAAGGCCAGCCTTGGTTTTGGGTGGGTTTAGGGTTTAGGGTTTAGGGTTTAGGGTTTAGGGTCTAGGGTCTAGGGTCTAGGGTCTAGGGTCGAGGGTCTAGGGTCCAGGGTCCAGGGTCTAGGGTCTAGGGTGTAGGGTGTAGGGTTTAGGTTTAGTATTTGGGTAGGGGTTTAGGCGTTTAGGAGTTTAGGGGCTGAGGGGTTGAGGGTTGATTTCTCTCGTGTCCCCAAGTACTCACTGCTCGAGAGAGAGTATGCCTTCATACCCAACATCTCCCGAAAGTAAACGACGAACGTGTTCCAGGGTTTCCCCGAGCCCCAAACTCTTGTTTTCAGGTATAAACCCTAAACCCCAAACCCTAAACCCCAAACCCCAAGCCCTAAACCCTGAACCCTGAACCCTAAACCCTAAACCCTAAACCCTAAACCCTAAACCCTAAACCCTAAACCCTAAACCCTAAACCCTAAACCCTAAACCCTAACCCCCCCCCCCCCCTTCTTTGAGCTGGGCTTCGCCAGGCTGTGGAAGCTTTGCTCCCTCTGCTATCGGAGGCAACGGCAACAGGGCTGAAGGGTTTGGGGGTTTGGGGTTTAGGGTTTAGGGTTTAGGATTTGGGGTTTAGGGTTTGGGGTTTAGGGTTTGGGGTCAAGGGAGCTTTGTCATGTTGGGGTTGAGGGGTTTAAGTTGGCAGCCCAGTGGTACCCTTTTGCCCTTGTTGTGGTCCAAGGTTCCCGAAAACACCAGGACCGGGAGTAGGCCCTTTTTTCATTTTTTAGGGTTGGGGTTTTCCTTTTGATCCCCTTAACACCAAAAAGGCACCCTTTTTATTCCTAGGTTACTCGCGGGTTTAGTAAAGCAGACAACCACAAAAATGTGTACCCTTATAAGAAGATGCACTGAGCTACCAGGTTAACGTTTACTTGAAGGTTCACTGGTAGCTCTTGGTAAGATAACCTAGACTCCAACCTTATTTTCTAACCTCAAAGTAGGGTACTTCTAGCCCTACTTGTACCTACCCATGAACCTCCAAGCAGGGGTCGTGAAACCCTAAACCCTAAACCCCAAACCCTAAACCCTAAACCCTAAACCCTTGTTCCAGGGATTATTGCTACATTGGAGGTCGGGCTCTGCTGGGTTGAGGAGCTCTTGCCCCGGGCAACCCGTGCAGCGGACATGTCCGTGAAATGGAGCCAGCGTAAGGGGCATGACAGGGATTAGGGCTTAGGGATTCGGGTTTGGGTTTTGGGTTTTTGGTTTAGGGGCTTCGGGCCCCTTTGGGTGTCAGATTTGTGTCAAGACTGCTCTTGTTGAGGCCGAGAAGGCTCACGAGAAGTCGCCCGCTGAGATCAGGCCGCACACCAAGCGCGCTTGGTGTGCCAGCTCTGGTACCTCAGTTCACAACCTTCACGATGCAGCTGAAGCCGATGAGCAACCGACTCTATACCCCGTGATGTACCCTGATTACAGTACTTCCGAAGCCCTAGACAGCGAATTGTTACACACGTGGGTCACTCGACCCTTTCGCTTGAGGCAACAAGCCCCGGGCGGGAAGGCGGCACAGGCGCGAGTGGTGCGCAAAGAAGGGTGTTTAGGGCTTAGCAACCCTAAACCCTAAACCATCCTAAACCCTAAACCAAGGATTTTTCCGGGGCTTCTCGAGATGCCCCAGAAAATCTGGGTGCGATTCCCCTTACAGTAGCACAGCCACTAAAACCCTACTGTAAACCCGAAGAGTTCCCCTTAGACTAGCAGTCCTTCATGGGAATGATTATGGGGATCCCTAAATTAAGGAGCTGTTAGGATAAGGGGGAACATCCCAGCCCGGAAGCCCCGAAGCGTTATTTATATCTGGAGCGTTAACGCTTAAACTGCTCATTTGCCTTGCCAGGCACCAGGGGCCTCACCAAGTGCCTCGGCCTGACCCCAAGTCAACGGGGGCTTGCGGCTGTGGTCCTGAGGCCCTAAACGCCCGAGGGGCTGAGCAGATGAATTTCTGCCATTTGTGTGTGTGTGTGAGAGACGCCAGAAGACATCTCTTCATGAAGCCAAGAGGCTTTAACCCTCTCGTCCCTAAACAACTCAGCCAACCAGAGCCCCTAGCAGAGAAAGTCGAGGTTGGGTGTCCCTAAACCCTAAACCTGAAACCCTAAACCCTATAAACCCTAAACGTGTCTTGCTCCACCACGCCGAGGGCACGAAGCGCAAGGCCGAAAGTCCCACGCGCGTGGGCTCGGAACAGCCCAAGAAGGCGGCCGCCGGCTGCCGACAGCTGCGCGTGTGCGTAAACGATTGCTGTTGCGCGGCCCTCTAGCAAGGGATGAACAAATGACTGGAACGTAATAGTTCGGGCACAGATGCTTTGTTTTTGCGATGTGTTGTAGATGTTGCGCCACAGCTTCTTCGCAGTAGTGCATTTTCCTGTGACATCCCATCGCAGGCCAGCGTGCCGAGAGTGGAAGAGAAAAGGCCAGAAGAGCAAGGCTCGGGCTATAGTAGCAGCCCCCACTTTCCACTTTTCCTCGGTTCCCGTTTTTGGTTCGAGGTTCCTTGTAAAGTAACCAACCCCAAAAAGGGGGTGCCCCTTATTCTCCAATATGTTTATTGGGCTACCCAAGTTCCTGCCGCGCTCAGAGGTTGGCTTTCGGATGGTCTGGGTCTTGCGGTTTAGGGTTTAGAGTGTAGGGCTGCATGAGCCCCCCCCCCCCCCCCCAAAAAAAAAAAAAAATGGCAAGCACCCGAGCTCCTTCTGTCGAGGCCAGCCAGTGGTGTCCGCTGCGTCGGAGGCCTGCAGTGTAGGGTTCGGGGATGTTGGGTTTGGGGTCTAGGGTTTGGGGGTGTTGGGTTGAGGTTCGGGGCGGTTTAGGGGGTTCGATGCGGTTTGAATTCTCACCTACTTGGAGGATCGGGGGATGTAGGAAGTGGGACCCTAAACCCCCTGCAGCCCAACCCTGGCACGCTCTAATACCGTGCGCCCGCGCAAGCCGAGGCTCCTCCTACGGCTGCAGGCTGGAGCATCAGAATCTCTTGGTAACCCAGTGGTACCCTTTTCCCTTGTTTTGGTTCAAGGTTCCCTTACAAAGTAACCAAACCAAAAAAAGGGTGCCCTTCTCATAATATGGTTGCTGGGCTACCAAGAGTTTGTCTTGCCACAAGTGCCACGAACTCCCCACTCCTCGTGGCTTGGGGTTCGGGCTGAAGGTCAAGGTTTCGGGCTTATAAGGACCATCAGTTTTGTGCGGTTTGTACTGTTTAGGCTTCGTATGCTTTGGGGCTAACAAGCTTTATGATGGCCTTGGGTGGCTTTGATTTAGATTCACGTTCGAGGGTTTGGGTGGGGGTTCAGAAGCCCCCTTTGTGGAGCAGTGGGGCCCATTTTATCAGCTGCAGGAGCTGGTTCTTCTGCCCGGCTCCAAGTTACAGCGAGTGTCGCCCATGGGCTTTGGGTGCCTGAGCACTGCCAGAGGTTCCTGCTGGACCCGTCCCTGCTGGCAAGGCACCGCCGAATCTAAAAGAAAGTCCCTGTTGCTCTGATGCGCTTCGCTCACGCGATGTGCAGGTGGAACCAGCGGCACCGTCGTCGTCTCCGTCCCCTCCGGCCGCCTGGGGCTCGACACCATGCAGACAATAATCAGCCAGGTTTGTGCAGGAAAGGCTCACGAGGTGCCGTTCTTGTCAGCGGCCGGCTGCTGGCATCGGAACGCAGTCTCCCGCTGCTAAGGGCGAGAAGATCAAGGACACATCCAGCGAGAAGAAGCAGAACCGAACTCAGAGCACGTGATATGCCATGACGCCCAATCATATTCTTCACAAAAAAGGTCGCACCCATGCTCCGAAACCCTAAGCCATGTGTGGCACTGAATGTCTTCTTGCAGGTCACCGCAGCCTCCCGCGCCCAAAGAGGCAGCCCCCCCTGGTCAAGTGTCTTCTCTCGCCTGTCGTGTATAGTCACAAGCCTCCAACTTCAGAAGTTGCGCAACCTCCGTGCAAGCTACGCTCATCATGCGGCAGGTTGTCGCCGGCCATGCTGTATCCCATGCCATAAGCCTGCCAACCAAAACGCAGGCCCACGGCAGGAACCTCTGAAAGGATAGTGGTGAGAAGCTTCGTCCAACCGCTATGAACAAGCACCCCCTGGCCTTCGATGGGCTTCTCATGAGTTCTCTAACATGTGACCCCTTTTGGGGGTAAACCCTGAACTGTAAATGGGTAGTTCTCATACAAGGACCCCAGAAGGGACCCGATTTAGAGAACTGCCTAAACAGGCTCCGTATTACAATCGGAACCCCACAATCGGCCAAAACCTCGAGAGAAAGCCCAAAGCACACGCTTATATCCAACCCACAAGAGCCCTGACACACCTGAGCGTACGGTTTGGGTCCTAGCATCTGCCACAGCAGGCCGCCGCCAACCAGGGCATGGCACAGGATCCTGGACCAGGGGTGAAAGGGGCAGGCAGGGCATGCGGAACGATGTGGAATGATCTTTGTTGATGTTTGCGCGTTTCGGCATGTTCCCCAGACTCTCGTAAGACCTTTGCGAGGGGCGGGCTCGTCTGCCAAGCACTAAGCACGTCAACACTTGACACCTTTGCTGTTGGATGTACGATTGTGAAGTGCAACACCTAAGGCAGCACCTGAGTTGGGTGCTGCACCTGTCCCCGCGGGCAAGGCGCCGCCGATTCCCGCCCCCTCTTGGACCTGTTTGCGGTGCATCGCCTAGCAAGATGCGCAGTCGTGTGTCGTTGGCGATGGGAGGTGGAGGTAGCTGCCTCCGCATCTTCTCCACCGGAAGCAGCCTGGCACCTGGGCATGTAGGTGCTGTACAGCAGAAACATTTACTTCCAGCATGTGGAGCCTCCTTGCTTGAGGCCCCGATCCCAGCCTCGGCGGATGATAAGGTCTCCTGCTCGGTGAGTTCCTCCAGCAGACTCCAGCATTTAGCCGAGTGACGTCGGATGCATCAGGGAACGCATCTTGAGGTCAAGACGGCCCAGGAGACATCACCCGACGAGGCAAAGCAGAGTGCCGTGCCCAAAGAGGCCGAGGCAAGCCGACCGCTTGGGCGTGTGGGTTTTGTGAACACGCGAAGACGGTTGTGGGCCTTTGCCTCCATTTTGAGTTCGGTTTTGGGGGTTTTGGGGTGTTTTGGGTTTGGTAATACCCGGAGTCTGTCCTGAAAAGACCATCAAAGCTACTGACGAGGCAGCGGGTGCTACGGGCGAGACCGCTCAGAGCTCCGTGGTCAGACTCCGAGAGAGCAGCTTTTTGCTCGAAAGATGCTGCGAATTTTTCTCAACTCTGAGCAGCATGGTAGGAATGGTCTGAGGCCGGGCAAGCTGGAGCAGGGGCCTCATGTTGAATTGAGAGACTTCTGGGTTCATTGAGCGCTGAAGTACTGTCACATGGTGTCTACACTGCTAGGCCGAGAGCACAGGACCCACTAGCCCAGAGCAGCCGAAGGAGGCGTGCAGAGCTCGCATTTTCTTGCATAGAGCAGTTGCTAGCTTTCCTTGTGCTTTTCTTGGGACAGCTGCCGCCACGGCAGGCCGTCATCCCGGCCGTGGCACAAGATCCTGGACCAGAGGTGAAAGAACCAGGCAGGCATGCGGGATCGTGTGGAGAAATCGGTTGAGATCTTGGTGCGTTTCGGCATGCTTCGCCTCACTTCTCTCGCACGCAAACTCACAAGACTCGTCAACTGAGCAGGGACGGGCGCTTCCGTCAGACACTCAGTACGACGGACTGGACACCTACCTTGCTTGTGGACCTTGTGAAGTGCATGGTCATGCGACGCCTAAGGCAGCACCTGAGTTGGGTGCTGCACCTGTCCCCGCGGGCAAGGCGCCTCCGATTCCCGCCCCCTCTTGGACCTGTTTGCGGTGCATCGCCTAGCAAGATGCGCGGTCGTGTGTCGTTGGCGATGGGAGGTGGAGGTAGCTGCCTCCGCATCTTCTCCACCGGAAGCAGCCTGGCACCTGGGCATGTAGGTGCTTTGCAGCCGGAAACGTTGCGTTTACTTCCAGCATGTGAAGCCTCCTTGCTTGAGGCCCCGATCCCAGCCTCGGCGGATGATAAGGTCTCCTGCTCGGTGAGTTCCTCCAGCAGACTCCAGCATTTAGCCGAGTGATGTCGGATGCATCAGGGAACGCATCTTGAGGTCAAGACGGCCCAGGAGACATCACCCGACGAGGCAAAGCAGAGTGCCGTGCCCAAAGAGGCCGAGGCAAGCCGACCGCTTGGGCGTGTGGGTTTTGTGAACACACGAAGACGGTTGTGGGCCTTTGCCTCCATTTTGAGTTCGGTTTTGGGGGTTTTGGGGTGTTTTGGGTTTGGTAATACCCGGAGTCTGTCCTGAAAAGACCACCAACTGACGAGGCAGCGGGTTCTACGGGCGAGACCGCTCAGAGCTCCGTGGTCAGACTCCGAGAGAGCAGCTTTTTGCTCGAAAGATGCTGCGAATTTTTCTCAACTCTGAGCAGCATGGTAGGAATGGTCTGAGGCCGGGCAAGCTGGAGCAGGGGCCTCATGTTGACTTGAGAGACTTCTGGGTTCATTGAGCGCTGAAGTACTGTCACATGGTGTCTACACTGCTAGGCCGAGAGCACAGGACCCACTAGCCCAGAGCAGCCGAAGGAGGCGTGCAGAGCACGCATTTTCTTGCATAGAGCAGTTGCTAGCTTTCCTTGTGCTTTTCTTGGGACAGCTGCCGCCACGGCAGGCCATCATCCCGGCCGTGGCACAAGATCCTGGACCAGAGGTGAAAGAACCAGGCAGGCATGCGGGATCGTGTGGAGAAATCGGTTGAGATCTTGGCAAGACTCGTCAACTGAGCAGGGACGGGCGCTTCCGTCAGACACTCAGTACAGCGGACTGGACACGTTTGCTTGTGGACCTTGTGAAGTGCATGGTTATGCGACGCCTAAGGCAACATTTGAGTTGGGTGCTGCACCTGTCCCCGCGGGCAAGGCGCCTCCGATTCCCGCCCCCTCTTGGACCTGTTTGCGGTGCATCGCCTAGCAAAGATGCGTGGTCGCGTGTCGTTGGCGATGGGAGGTGGAGGTAGCTGCCTCCGCATCTTCTCCACCGGAGGCAGCCTGGCACCTGGGCATGTAAGTGCTTTACAGCAGAAACATTTACTTCCAGCATGTGAAGCCTCCTTGCTTGAGGCCCCGATCCCAGCCTCGGCGGATGACAAGGTCTGCTGCTCGGTGAGTTCCTCCAGCAGACTCCAGCATTTAGCCGAGTGATGTCGGATGCATCAGGGAACGCATCTTGAGGTCAAGACGGCCCAGGAGACATCACCCGACGAGGCAAAGCAGAGTGCCGTGCCCAAAGAGGCCGAGGCAAGCCGACCGCTTGGGCGTGTGGGTTTTGTGAACACGCGAAGACGGTTGTGGGCCTTTGCCTCCATTTTGAGTTCGGTTGTGGGGTTTTGGGGTGTTTTGGGTTTGGTAATACCCGGAGTCTGTCCTGAAAAGACCATCATGCAAAGCTACTGACGAGGCAGCGGGTGCTACGGGCGAGACCGCTCAGAGCTCCGTGGTCAGACTCCGAGAGAGCAGCTTTTTGCTCGAAAGATGCTGCGAATTTTTCTCAACTCTGAGCAGCATGGTAGGAATGGTCTGAGGCCGGGCAAGCTGGAGCAGGGGCCTCATGTTGACTTGAGAGACTTCTGGGTTCATTGAGCGCTGAAGTACTGTCACATGGTGTCTACACTGCTAGGCCGAGAGCACAGGACCCACTAGCCCAGAGCAGCCGAAGGAGGCGTGCAGAGCACGCATTTTCTTGCATAGAGCAGTTGCTAGCTTTCCTTGTGCTTTTCTTGGGACAGCTGCCGCCACGGCAGGCCATCATCCCGGCCGTGGCACAAGATCCTGGACCAGAGGTGAAAGAACCAGGCAGGCATGCGGGATCGTGTGGAGAAATCGGTTGAGATCTTGGCAAGACTCGTCAACTGAGCAGGGACGGGCGCTTCCGTCAGACACTCAGTACAGCGGACTGGACACGTTTGCTTGTGGACCTTGTGAAGTGCATGGTTATGCGACGCCTAAGGCAACATTTGAGTTGGGTGCTGCACCTGTCCCCGCGGGCAAGGCGCCTCCGATTCCCGCCCCCTCTTGGACCTGTTTGCGGTGCATCGCCTAGCAAAGATGCGTGGTCGCGTGTCGTTGGCGATGGGAGGTGGAGGTAGCTGCCTCCGCATCTTCTCCACCGGAGGCAGCCTGGCACCTGGGCATGTAAGTGCTTTACAGCAGAAACATTTACTTCCAGCATGTGAAGCCTCCTTGCTTGAGGCCCCGATCCCAGCCTCGGCGGATGACAAGGTCTGCTGCTCGGTGAGTTCCTCCAGCAGACTCCAGCATTTAGCCGAGTGACGTCGGATGCATCAGGGAACGCATCTTGAGGTCAAGACGGCCCAGGAGACATCACCCGACGAGGCAAAGCAGAGTGCCGTGCCCAAAGAGGCGGAGGCAAGCCGACCGCTTGGGCGTGTGGGTTTTGTGAACACACGAAGACGGTTGTGGGCCTTTGCCTCCATTTTGAGTTCGGTATTTTGGGGGTTTTGGGGTGTTTTGGTTTGGTACTACCCGGAGTCTGTCCTGAAAAGACCACCAACTGACGAGGCAGCGGATGCTACGGGCGAGACCGCTCAGAGCTCCGTGGTCAGACTCCGAGAGAGCAGCTTTTAGCTCGAAAGATGCTGCGAATTTTTCTCAACTCTGAGCAGCATGGTAGGAATGGTCTGAGGCCGGGCAAGCTGGAGCAGGGGCCTCATGTTGACTTGAGAGACTTCTGGGTTCATTGAGCGCTGAAGTACTGTCACATGGTGTCTACACTGCTAGGCCGAGAGCACAGGACCCACTAGCCCAGAGCAGCCGAAGGAGGCGTGCAGAGCTCGCATTTTCTTGCATAGAGCAGTTGCTAGCTTTCCTTGTGCTTTTCTTGGGACAGCTGCCGCCACGGCAGGCCATCATCCCGGCCGTGGCACAAGATCCTGGACCAGAGGTGAAAGAACCAGGCAGGCATGCGGGATCGTGTGGAGAAATCGGTTGAGATCTTGGCAAGACTCGTCAACTGAGCAGGGACGGGCGCTTCCGTCAGACACTCAGTACAGCGGACCTGGACACGTTTGCTTGTGGACCTTGTGAAGTGCATGGTTATGCGACGCCTAAGGCAACATTTGAGTTGGGTGCTGCACCTGTCCCCGCGGGCAAGGCGCCTCCGATTCCCGCCCCCTCTTGGACCTGTTTGCGGTGCATCGCCTAGCAAAGATGCGTGGTCGCGTGTCGTTGGCGATGGGAGGTGGAGGTAGCTGCCTCCGCATCTTCTCCACCGGAGGCAGCCTGGCACCTGGGCATGTAGGTGCTTTACAGCAGAAACGTTTACTTCCAGCATGTGAAGCCTCCTTGCTTGAGGCCCCGATCCCAGCCTCGGCGGATGTAGATGTTGAGGTCCGCTGCTCGGTGGCTTCCCGGGGCACGTAATCTCTGCTCAGCTGACTTGATTCACTTGATTCAAATTTGGACTTGGCTGTCCAAGCAGACTCGAGCAATTAGCCGAGTGACGTCGGATGCATCAGGGAACTCATCTTGAGGTCAAGACGGCCCAGGAGACATCACCCGACGAGGCAAAGCAGAGCGCCGTGCCCAAAGAGGCGGAGGCAAGCCGAATCCGGGCGAGTGGGTCTGTGAGCGCACGAAGTCGGTTCCTTTCGGAACACTGTCACCGGTTTTTGTGGTGGTGCCGAAACTAGTGGCGAGGCAGCGGATGCTACGGGCGAATCTGCGCAGAGCTCTATGGACAGACTCTGAGAGAGTAAGACGTCTCCCCCACACCGTTTTTGCTCGGAGCTACTACAGCCACATAGTATAGGAAGAGGGTGAGATACATCACCTGCCAAGGCTGGGCAAGCTGGAGCATGGACCTCATGCTGAACTACAGTCAGAGCATGCAAAGGCAGCACTAGAGGGGCATTGAGCCTGTTTTCTCACGCTGCCAGGCCGAGAGCACAGGACCTTCCAGCCCGGATGAGGCGAAGGAGACAGAGCATGCGTCAACTTGCGTAGAGCCACGTGTTAGCGTGCCTTGCGCTTCCCAGATTCCCCTCGGGCCGTACAGTTTCCGCCACGGCAGGCCTACGTCCAGGCGATGGCACAGGATCCTGCACCAGAGGCGAAAGGGGCAGGCAGGTATGCAGGATGATGTGGACAAATCAGGGTAGATCCCTGTGCGTGTTGTCACGTTCCCCACACTCTCGTAAGACCTGTTGTTCGAGGGGCGGGCTCGTCTGCCAAGCGCTAAGCACGTCAAATGCTCGACTCCCTTGCTTTTGGATGCCGCGAAGTTGAAATGCACTGCCAAGGCAACACCTGAATTGGGTGCTGCACCTGTCCCCACGGGCAAGGCGTCGCCGATTCCAGCCCCCTCTTTGACCCGTTTGCGGGGCATCGCCTTGCCAGAATCAATGCGAACCCGTGGTCGTGTGTCGATATGGGAGGTGGAGGTAGCTGCCTCCTCATCTTCTCCATCTGCGACAGCCTGGCACCTGGGATTGTAGGCGCTTTGCAGCCAAAGACGTTGGCGTTTGCTTCCAGCATTCGAAGTCGCATTGCCCGAGGCACCGATCCCAGCCTCGGCAGATGTTGAGGTCCGCTTCTCGGTGGCTTCCCGGGGTGACGTGATCTGTAGCATGATGCAACATCGGTAGAAACTTGTGCCTTTCTCTTCTCAGCTGACATGGGCATCTGCCTCCAGCTCATGGGTTCGTAGTTGAAGTACCCGGTTTTGGGAGGTCTTGGGATGTTTTGGGTTTGGTACTCTGGGGTCTAAAGACCACCAAAGCTACTGACGAGGCAATGGATGCTACGGGCGAAGCCTCTCACAGCTCTGCGGTCAGATCCCCAGAGAGCAATGAGGATCTCCCCCACAGCTGTTCTGTAGGGAGTTTAATAAGGGTATATAAGGGTCAAATATATACATATTAAGGACTGTTGGTATAAGCGGGGACATCCCAACATTGAGTGTTGAAGTGCTGTTCCACGCGGCCAGGCCGAGAGCAGAAGACCTGCGAGCTCAGAAGAGCCGAAGGAGGCGCGGAAACATGGGTATTGCCCAAAATAGGGGTACCCCTTCTTCTTTCCCCAAATCGAGTAGAATCCCTTTTTCCAGGGACCCCCAACAAGGGTACCCCAATTTTCGGACATCCCCATGTATGCTTGCATGGAGCACCTGCTACAGTAGCTTCCTTGAGTCTCGAGCTTCCCGGATTCACTTTGAGCCGTACAGCTTCCGCCACGGCAGGCCAACGTGGCGGCCGCGGCGCAGGAGCCTGCGCCAGCCAAGGCGGCTGTCATTAGGGCATATCATGGCGACCACCTAGTAGCTCGTTGTGAATGTGACTCCCAGAATATGTCTGGAGGCCTCGCGCGCCGAGGGCGTGAAGCGCAAGGCCGAGAACCCCGGGCCTCTGCGTTTGGACCAGCTGAAGGAGGCCCCAGGGGGTTTGGCTTGTTTGAGGGGTCAGGAATTCGCGGCTATCGAACCTGTGGGATGTCTCCGGAATCTGTGCTTTGCTATTGTCGCTGCGTGGTTGCTGTTCGGCTTCAATCAGAGCCCCTCGCCTCAGAGGCCAACATCCAGGCGATGGTGCAGGAGCGTGCGCCCAAGGCCGTGCGGAGCGAAGGCACGGGGATTACCCACGGCTTCCGCTTGTGTCGCTTGCATAGGAATCTGGAGAGCCCGCCTATGTCCACATAGAAGATATAAATGTTAAATAGGTAACCAAAGTATCTATACGTATATTATATGACGACAATTCTTACTATGAGTACTATATTATATACATATATATATATATGTGGGAAACTTTTTTTGAAACTTGCGAATCTTTTTGCATCAGACGAAGGAGCAGGAAAGAGGATTGCCATCTTCGGGCTTGTCAAGTCCTTTGCAGGGTTTGATGAGTTTTTTGGGAGATATCAGCCATTGCCAGCCCTCTTGGTGCAGGTGCTGGATCGGCCGCGCGGGTCCGAGTCATCCGAGTCTGAGAGTAGTCCATGCACGTCTCGGGAGTGTTGGGACTGCTGCTGCAGTAGTGAAGCACCGGCGAAGCAAAGTTCAGACCCCTCAGATTCCTCAGATGGATTGAGATGTATTGGCTGAGGCGGCTCAAGTCGTCGTGGACGACGACGACGCTACCGAAGCTCCGCCAGTAGCACCTTGCAGTGGATTGGAAAGCTTGTCTTGGGTAAGGCTCGAGAAGCTCAAAGTCCAATGAGTCCTATTGTTGGGAGTCATGATTTTATGTGGAGGCTCTTAGACGATGATTTAGTCTAATCTGCGGCTTCGCTACCACCCAGACCTTTGGTCACACAGGGCATGCGGCCGGCTGCCAACCCTGACCAGGCTCCGATCCCTGCGGCGGATGATGAGGTCTGGGCGTGTTCTGCTACACATGGTGTAACATCGGTAGGAGAATGTAGGAGACATCACCCGACGAGGCAAAGCAGAGTGCCGTGCCCAAAGAGGCCGAGGCAAGCCGACCGCTTGGGCGTGAGGGTTTTGTGAGCACACGAAGACAGTTGTAGGCCTTTGCCTCCATTTTGAGTTCGGTTTTGCGGGTGTTGGGGTGTTTTTGGGTTTGGGAATATCCTGAGTCTGTCCTGAAAAGACTATCAAAGCTACTGACGAGGCAGCGGGTGCTACGGGCGAAACCGCTCAGAGCTCCGTGGTCAGACTCCGAGAGAGTAAAGCGATCTCCACCATTCAGTTTTTGTTTCGGAGATGCTTAATTCGGAACTGCTTGGTACAAGCAAGAAGGTAAGATACAATCCGCTGCTGAGGCTGAGCAACTTAGTGCAGGAACCTCAGGTTGAACTGCAGTCAATGGCATGCAAAGGTAGCTGCCACCCACGCTGCCAGGCCGAGAGCAAAGGACCTGCGAGCCCAGCAGAGCCCAAGGAGGTACGCAAATATGTGCTTGCATGGAGCACGTGCTAGCTTGTCCGTATCTTCGAGGGTTCACTTTGAGCCGTACAGCTTCCGCCACGGCAGGCCAACGTGGCGGCCGCGGCGCAGGAGCCTGCGCCAGCCAAGGCGGCTGTCATTAGGGCATATCCTGGCGACCACGTGGTAAGCTTTGTGAGTTTGGGACTCCCAAAATATGTTTGGAGGCCTCGCACGCCGAGGGCGTGAAGCGCAAGGCCGCGACCCCTGGGCCTCTGCGTTTGGACCAGCTGAAGGAGGCCTCAACGGGTTTGGTTTTTTGGGGGGGTTAGGAATTCGCGGCTATCGGGCCTGTGGGATGTCTCCGGAATCTGTGCTTTGACATTGTCCCTGCGTGGCTGCTCTTCGGCTTCAATCAGAGCCCCTCGCCTCAGAGGCCAACATCCAGGCCATGGTGCAGGAGCGCGCGCCCAAGGCCGAGCGAAGCGAAGGCACGGGGATTCAAACGATGTCTGCCCAAATACAAATATTGATCAAAATGGAACAAGAAAACACACATATGCGTATGTAAATATATAAAATGATTTTGAATTGATCATGTGTTTCTATTTCTACATATATATATATATGATTTCATATGCTGATGTGTTCAGTAACTCTTTGGAACTTGCGCATCTTTTTGCATCAGTCGAAGGAACAGTCTGGGGGATCATAGGGGATCGCCCTCTTCGGGCTTGTCGAGTCCTCAGCAGGGTTTGAGTAAACCCTAACCCTAAACCCTAAACCCTAAACCCTAAACCCATCGGCCATTACCAGCCCGCTTGGTGCAGGTGCTGGATCGGCCGCGCGGGTCCGAGTCATCCGAGCCCGAGTGTCGTAGTCCATGCACGTCTCGGGACTGTTGGGACTGCTGCAGTAGCTAGGACCGAGAGTAGGCTCTTCTTTCCTTTTTTTGAGGGTTGGGGGTACCCTTCTTATTGCTACTGTACTCCCGGGTCTAGGTAGTGAAGCACCGGCCAAGCAAAGTTCAGACCCCTCAGATTCCTCAGATGGATTGAGATGTATTGGCTGAGGCGGCTCAAGTCGTCGTGGACGACGACGACGCTGCCGAAGCTGCACCAGCAGCACCTTGCAGTGCATTGGAACGCGTGTTTCGGTTAAGGCTTGAAAAGTGCGAAGTCCAATGTGTCCAATGAGTCTTATGCTTGGGATGTCGAGCTTCCCGCCTCATTAATTCGAGAACTTGCGCCACCCAGAGCTATCTGTGGGTTTACCATACTAAGGGACCCTTAATATCGACCCCAAATAGTAGGATCCCCTTATAAGGACCCCAATAAGGTACCCCGAATACTGTAAAGCCCCTCTAGCTGACACGGAGCTCTCGTGAGCCTCAGCAGGTGCTGATGTCTGATGCTTATCTAAGTAGGGCCTTGGGATAGCTTCCATTTTCCCTTATTAGGCTTAAGAGGATGATATTCAGAATATTTTCAGAGGGCTTTCCTAGTGAAAGTGGCTTCCCCGAACTCCTGATTCTTAGCTTTGGTCTCGCCCCGCATGCTTCCGATGTCCACGACTCAGAACTGCCCGGCCTGTGGCAACGTTTTCATGGACGACTCGCTGTTCTGCCGGAAGTGTGGCCGCAAACGCGACGAGGTGCTTCAACCAGACTTTTTGCTTCTTAGCCTTTGTTGTCCATGACACTCCATGACTCAGAACTGCCCGGCTTGTGGCAACGTTTTCATGGACGACTCGCTGTTCTGCCGGAAGTGTGGCCGCAAACGTGACGAGGCGGGTCAAGATGTCTTCATGTCCTAGTTGAAGGTTCATAGGTAGTTGTAAGTGGGGTCATATGCAAGGTCACCTACATGATATCCAGAATTGAGGTACTTATTCCCCTACTTAAAAGCTACCCATGCACCTTCAAGTACGTATAAGGGTCAGAGACTGCTGGACCTGGGTGTGGCGTCTCCGTGGCTTGGTTCGTCTTGTGATGTGCGCACTCCAGCAATTTCCGATTTGGGAGTTTACGAGAATAGGGAACCCCTAATATACACCCCCAAATAGTGAGATTTCCTTATCATAAGGACTCCAAAAAGGTTCCTCCTAATTCGGGAAACCTCCCATTTCAGTGGAGGGGATCATGGGGCCCTCCCAAGGTTTACCTTTGCCCGAGTTACCGCACCAAAACTGAAGTATCCTCAAAGAGGAGCTCCTCTAAACCGGTCCCCACAGCGCTTCCGGACCCGAATCCAGCTTTCACGGGACTTGCATGGAGGGGACCATGTCATCCAAATGGGAGAGTGGGGGGTTCACTCTGTCATCTCCTGCACGTTCTGTTTGGCAGGCACACGTGCCTGAGTAAGTTGTCATCTCCTGTGCGTTCTCGCGCCTCATTCCTATTGTTTGGCAGGCACACGTACCAAATCAGTGGTTCTTCCGGTGGCCATTTTCGGTTTTGTCTTGTCTTGCATCAGACTCTTGGTTGCATGCCTCTGCCTCTGCGTGAGGTAGCGGATGCCACGGGCGAAGCTTCTCACAGCTCTGCAGTCAGATCCCGAGGAGTAGTGAGGATCTCTCCCACACACGGATGTCGCTTCGAGCTGCCACGAGCCGTTCTGAGCCATTTGCAGCATGCTGCGAACGGTAAGATAACTTCTGCTGCCGAGGCTGAGCAAGCTAGAGCAACGACCCCAGGTTGAATTGCAGTCAAGGCATGCAAAGATAGCACTTGAGACATTGAGCGTTGAAGTGCTATTACGTGGTGTCCCTCGAACGACGTGGCCAGGCCGAGAGCACAGGACCTGCGAGCCCAGCAGAGCCGAAGCAGGTACACCGATATATGCTTGCATGGAGCACGTGCTAGCTTATCCGTATCTTCGCGGATTCACTTTGAGCCGCAGCCGTACAGCTTCCGCCACGGCAGGCCAACGCGGCGGCCGTGGCGCAGGAGCCTGCGCCAGCCAAGGCCCAAGCAGCTGAATCTAGGCTGTCATTAGGGCTTATCCTGGCGACCACTTCGAAAGCTTTGTGTATTTGTGACTCCCAAAATATGTTTGGAGGCCTCGCACGCCGAGGGCGTGAAGCGCAAGGCCGCGACCCCTGGGCCTCTGCGTTTGGACCAGCTGAAGGAGGCCTCAACGGGTTTGGTTTTTTTTGGGGGGTTAGGAACTCGCGGCTGCTGGCCTGGGCGCACTTTTACACTGTTGCTGCGTGGCTGCTCTTCGGCTTCAATTAGAGCCCCTCGCCTCAGAGGCCAACATCCAGGCCATGGTTCAGGAGCGCGCGCCCAAGGCCGCGCGGAGTGAAGGCACGGGCAGGGTTTCAGTTCGTGTCGCTTGCTTGGCTTTGTCACGATGCCCGTGTGGAGAAGTTGGAAAAGCAGAATCAGGGGGGCCCGAATATGTCAACATGTGTACCTATCTGCGCGTATCAATATATGCATATGTATAAGTCTTCTGCAGGGGTACGATGAGCTTGTGAAGATATGAGCCCCCCTATCTGGAGGTGCTGAATCGGCCGTGCGGGTCTGAGTCATCCGCGTGCGAGTTCCGTAGTCCATGCCCTCGGCACTTCTGCTCCCAACCCACATGCCCCAGTTCCTTAGGTGTGCCGGGGCACCCTTCATTCTTTCAGGGATCTTTAAGGGTGCAACCTGCAAGCGTTAGTAAACGCCTCAACCTCCAGAGTGCCCTGGCTTAAACGAGCTCCCCCACTCCTTCCAAAACCCTTGCCCCAAAAAACACAACTAAAAAACAAAAGAAGTGGGAACTGCATGATCTGTCGGGGGGACTGTCTCGGACCCGTCAACCTAGAGGCAGAAAAGCCCACATACACACCAAGTAATCCAGGGATGAGTCCGCGCCGTAGTTTCCAGAGGATTGGGAGTGCGCTATCAAGAGTTTCGGATTCTGGGTACCCTAAACCCTAGACCCTCAAGACAAAATGGTAGAAACCGTATGTGATCTCATTCAAAACTTCAAACAAGGTTTGTCTAGACAAGCTGGTATCGGACAAGCCACGCCCCATCAACAAAAGCTTCCAAGCTGAACTAAAAAATTTGATCCAGGGGTCTTTCAAGGGCCGTGGGAGGCCGGCTGCACAAACCGAAACTTACACCCCAACTCTGGACGCGGACCCTACACAATCTCTGTGCACCCTAAACCCCAAACCTCACCTTCCCAATCCCTGCCCAAGCCTCTTACACTCCCCCAAAACCAACCCTGGGACTTGTGTTTTTTAGGCGAAGTTCTCCCTGTAGGGCAGATACTTCGACCTGGCGCGTAAGACATGAAAAAGGAGTTTTCATGGTCCAGGCTTTGAACACCAAGCCCCAAGCCAACGGGAAACATGTCCAAGAGCCTCAAGCTTGGACCCCTGAAAACGTCAGGAAAGTCGATCAAGATCACCCTGAAGGGGTGGCTAGGGTTCAGAGAGGTTCTAGAGCTTCTAGGGTTCTAGGGTTTAGGGTTAGGTGATCTGGGGGGAGGTTCAACTTTAGATTCTGCAAAGGGAGAGCTTGGGCCGCTTGCTCCCGAAGCCCTGAGTTGCTATTATTTTTCTTAAGAACCCCTCCAAGAAATGGGAAACGTTCTTCCTTATAAGGGCAATGTAGGAATTAGTACCTTTTATGTGTTGGGGGTTCTTCTTCAGCAAACAGTAGATTAAGAGGGTTTTCGGGTGCTATGTTTTTTTGCGGGTAGCCTGGATGAATTTTGTACTGCTCGCTGTTGGGATGTCGCTGCCTGCGTTTCTCAAGCCGGCGCCCTTAAACCCTAAACCTAAACCCTATACCCGAAACATGCCCTGAACTCTATACCCTAAACCCCTGCAGTCTCCATAGTCATGTTTAAGGCCTCTGTCCCAGTCGTGGTTGACGTGGTGGACGATGCCGCCGAAACTCCGCCCGCAGCACCTTGCTGCGGTGTTGGGAAACCTTGTTGTTACTTGTTTGGGGGGCCTTAAGAGCTTGATGATACGTAGGTCTAATGGTTTAACGGTTAGCCTAGCAGCGCTGGGAGGCTTTCTGTACAGCTGGGGGTTCCGAGCTTTGGGATGAGAATTCCCGGTTGTGTAAAACTTGTCCGCATGCTGAGGCACCAGCATCTTGAGCGACCGCGCTTGCCACGCAGATCGAAAATATGGGCCTGGAGCATGGGATCTCATCTTTGAACTCATGCGAACTCCTTTCTGAATTCGGGATATGTTGGAATGTGTGGACTGGATCTAATGTTCAAAATTATGCCAGCGCAGACCCCAAAGAGTGAGCCCCAGGCATCCCAAAAGCCACGACAGTTTTGCTTCTCGCAAGCCCACGAAGATTTTGCATTTCGGGAGCACAGCAGTGCGTTTCAACGGACATGTTTCCATTGGGCTCTGCACCTTGACCCCGCAATCGGCCTGGGAGATTGACACATGTTACGGTTTAAGTTTGGAGAGCTGGCCATTTATGCTGCTGATTGCGGGTTCTTGGCTCAAGCCCGGAAGCGCAGCGGTTAATGATAAGACTCCATAGGCTCACAACAAGGGCCTTCATTATCTTACTTCTCCAACAGCTGAACTTTAAACTTTTTGGGTTTCCTTATTTAGTAAGAATAAAAAAGTTTAACCTTTTTTTCCCTTGATTATTGGAGAAGTAAGTTATTGTATTGGACAATACGTATGTATATGTATGTATACTCGTATACATATATATATATGTATATGTATGAGATAGATCTCTGTTATAGAGGACCAGAACAGCTCTATAGGTGGTGCATTCTGTGATTTAGCAGTGCAGTGCAGTGCCCATGCACAATGCACTTGTGATACGAGAATGATACGTGTGTATATGTATGTATACTCGTATATATATATATATATATGATAAATCTCTGTTATAGAGGACCAGAACAGTTCTATAGGTGGTTAGCTGCCTCTGCCCTAGAGGCTTTCTCTTCGTTAACTGGGTTTTATGCCTTTGCACAACCTCTCCATAAAGGGAGTTGGCTGGCGAGCGGGAAGGCCAGGAGGGGCGACATTTATGTTCCAGGGAAGGGAAGATGGAATTTTCTGTACAAAGTCACTGAGGCGCAAGCTAGTTCACGAGTGTGTTCCAGGTTTGCTTGTGGAGATTGAAGCATCGCCTCAACAGCAACCAACAAACAACATATACAGTTTCAACGCGTGACGTGGCTTTTCCAGTTGGAGAGAGGTGTGCATCCCTGCAAGCAAAGCACCCGCTGCGTTTGGCGCTCAAGGCAGGCCGTTGTCACCAGACATACTGACCTTCCCCGGAGTGACCGGCGGCAGTATGGTGACTCGTTGCCTTAGCAGCTTCATTGGATCCCGCAAAGTGGGCAAGAAGCAGAAGAAGGATTCCGAGATTTCCGACAATTCCGACAACTCCGAGGCCCTGAAGTACACCTTTGCCCAGGCATGCGGCTTCAACACGATGATGATGTTTGGCACGGGGCCTTACATCTCCATCCCCTTCTGCCTAGCTGCAACAGCACCACCTGGGCCGCAGGCCATGGTCGGCTATTCGATTGCCGCGGTTGGATGCCTGGCAGATAGCTTTGTGTGGGGAGAGCTAGGGTCCCGATTCCCATTGTCCGGCGGGTCTTACATCTACCTTCGCGAATGCTTCGGCCCGGGCAAGTGGGGCGACCTCGCGGCTTTCATCTACTTGTGGCAGTTCTGGGTCAGCGGCCCGGCCGAGATTGCTTCGGGCTTCATCGCAATGTCGGAGTACCTCACGTACATCCACGGGCGGAGTGACTATTGGACCAAGACCTTGACAGCCCTCTGCATGACGATTTGTGCAGTGATGCTGTTGCTGCGCCGCGTATCTGACACGGGACTTGTCGTCTACGTGCTCTGGGCGGTTACGGTCACATCGATGGTCTTTGTCCTCATCAGTGGGTTTGCCAACTTCGATTCGGACAACTTTCAGTTGCCGGAGAACCCGTGGGGCGATCCGGCGACGACGAGCATGAGCACCTTCATTTTTGGGCTGGGAGCTGCCTGCCGCTTCGGCGTCTATGACTTCACTGGGTATTACGATGTCTGCACCATGGGCGGCGAGGTCAGGAGCCCGCGCACGACCATACCCAGGTGCGGTAGTTGAGTTGATGCGAATCGGGAGGGGTTTGTTGGTGGCCGCCACAGCAGTAGCAGCCAAGGGAGCGAATGAATCAAGGATTCGAACCCTTAATCCTAAACCTTAAACCTTCTTGAGCCCTGGGGGGTTAGAGTTGCTGGGGAGCTTGGGTGCTTGGCGCCGAGGGTTGTTGAGGGTTAAGGTGCGCTAAACCCAATTTAGGGTTTGGGGTTTAGGGCTTAGGGTTTAAGGTTTTGGGCTTAAAGGCTTAGGGCTTAGGGTTTAGGGTTTGAGTTTTCGTGATTAAATGGCCCAAAACCCCAACACCCAACCAGCCGTAGAAAAGCCTGGACGCCCACAGACATAGGAAAGGAATGTCGACAAGTACTGTGAACACCACCTAACTTTAAGGTTCCCTAGGTACCTACCCCCCTTGAACCCCCCTCCCTTAAGAACCCCATAAAATACAAAAAAAAAACAATAGAATTCTTTAGTTCGCATTGCAAAAGCATCAAAAACAAATAGGGGTGACATCGACGAGGTCGTTTTTTCTTGACACCTTGCGCACAATATGAAACATGGAAATTACCGAATTCAAAATAGCGACTCTCGAGTCTGCACCGCTCCAAACGACGCAACAAGTTGTGACAAGTTGAGACTCCTCGAAGATGATCCAATGCCGAAGCAGCCAGTTTTTGCGCATGAAAAAAGGGGCAGCAAAGACGTTCCACGCCCACTTGCCTTACTTCTGTGTGTGCGTGTGTTGCCAGTCGTGTGGTTGCGGAGTGTTGCGAAACCTTTTGTGTCTGGATTTTTCATACCGGTGTTTCTTGCGAACTTGACGTCGCGAACCGATTTTCATCCGTCAACCACTGTTTGCTAAACCGTAAACCCTAAACCCTAAACCTTAAACCCCAGGTCATGCATCCTAACGTGTGCCATCGTGTTGGTTGTCTACCTTTCTGTCTACGTGTCGGTGGTTGGCTATCTGCCGTGGTACGGAGAGGAAGGCTTCGTTGCTCGCGTGCTCGCCGAAGATGACAGCTCAGCTTCATGGTAGGCCCTTTGGGATATTCTCGTTGCCCTTATTGGGTTTTAAAGAGGATGATAAAAAAAAAAAAAAAAACCCTAAACCCTAAACCCTCAACCCTAAACCCGATGTTTTCCGAAGGGGTTTTCAGGGCCATCCGAGGCTTACATCATGGCCACCTTTGCCGAGAAGCTTGCTGGCCGTGGCTTTGCCATCTTCTTCGTGATCGTGGTGGTCCTTGTCACTTGGTAGCCCAGTGGTACCCTTTACCCTGTTTTTTGGGGGTTCTGGTTTAGGGTTTAGGGTTTAGGGTTTAGGGTTTAGGGTTTAGGGTTTAGGGTTTTAGGGTTTAGGGTTTAGGGTTTAGGGTTTCCCTTATAAAATGACCAACCGAAAAGAGGGTGCCCTGATAAGAAGATGGCTACTGGGCTACCCAGGTCATCTTTGGCTCGGTCTTCTCAATGCTCGCAGGCATGATGTATCTTCCTGGCGCCGCTGCTGAGCTTGGGCTCTTCTTCCCGGGCTTCGCGCGCCGTTCGGACCTGCGAAGCTCGGAGGATGTGCCCGTGCTGAGCCTCTTGGTCATAGTTGGGTAACATTTTACATCTTTAAGGGTACTTAAACCCAATAAGGAATAACATTTTAAATTTGTAATCCTATCCCAACCATGAACTAGGCCTCTTGTGTATTGGCACATTGGCATGCGGCTGGTGTTTCTTCTCCCTTGACACGGTGATTGATGCCATGACTGCTATGCTGGTGCTGGTGCAGTTTATTGGTCAAGCAGTCGGCCTTTGTGTCCTTCGATTTCAGATTGCGCGCGGGCGGCGTGCCGAGGATCCAGATGCCTGGAAGATCCGCGCATTCCCACTTGTAGTGGTCCCACAGCTCCTCATCTTCCTCTTCATCTTCACGACGACGGATAACTGGGTGTTCAACGGAGACGACCCAATTCTCGACTTGGCCGTGATATTCCTCCTCGTCGGCGTGGTTTTCTTCTTTGGCCAGCAGCACTGTAACAACGCTTGGCCATTTGGCGACAAAGTCGCGCTCCCTCCCGAAGAATGTTCCAGCCCCGACTTGCCTGGTGTCAAAGACACGGAGGAAGCTGCGTGCTGATGTTACTGCTGTCTGAAACTGCTGCTAGCAGGTAGGGATTCGTAGGCTAAGCCTCGAGTTTGCATAGGAGGCGTTCCCATGAATTGAAGGGAGCTGGCCTCCAAAAAGGCATATTATGATAGCGGTTGCTTCAGTACAGTCTAGCGGTGAGTCACGGCGGAAAAGCCGTGAGCCACGGCTTTTGGATTTCGAGAGCGCTGACCGCCGCAAAGTATGGAGCCTGGGTTGAACTGCTGTCTGTTGTGGGGAACAGGCGATGCAACTAGAGTAACGAGGGATCTCCGTGCACTTGTGAAGGTTCTCAATTTTCTAAAGAGCAATGCCAGGCTGTTGCTTGGCAACGTTCGCCCTTGATGTGTTTTCCCTGGAAGGCCATTTCCTACAAGTGCCGTCAGCTCGAAGGCAGGCTGCCGACCGGATCATGCAAAGGTCATGTCGGATGTCGCCAAGAATAGCCACGCTATACAGAGTCGCCGCCACAACAGGTGCCAGCCAGGCTTCATTGAAGTCCCAAAAACCATACCCTTGCAGGAGAGCCCTTAAGCTGAACCCAACCTCCGCTGTGAATTCGTCTCATCGCCGCCACCCCGCAGCATCGTCTAGGCGAACCCTAAACCCTAAACCCTAAACCCTAAACCCTAAACCCTAAACCCTAAACCCTAAACCCTAAACCCTAAACCCTAAACCCTAAACCCTAAACCCTAAACCCTAAACCCAATCTCCCGAAGGACGACCGTAGAGGTGCCCCAAACATCGCCGACAGCTCTGGCCTTGATCGCTCACTCACCTAGCTCCCGTGCACGCCGCCTATTGTTATACTATTGTACATGTATCTCAGTAGATCATGACATTTTCGATATTTTTGCTACTATTCGATTAGT